CTTCGCTGAGCTACTCTCTCCATTTTCATTTCTATTTCTGATTCGGTTCTGGATCGGGCAATTAAAATTCTGACTGAGTTCGAGTTTCGGATTTGATTCGTTGATTGCCCTGTGAAATAATTAATTTATGCGTGCATTAACCGTTACTTGATAATGAGAACCGGGCGGGTAAATCAAGGGGGGATTTGGTAGTCTTATCTCCTCTTTCAGAGCCGATTAAGTTCAAGTCTTCAAGTGCGGATGGAGATTGGGTGTGTCTGAAAGTGCGAAGAGTCCGCGGAGGGGGAAATACAAGTCTTGTAATTATGGGCCGGACCAGACGTGTACAGTGCGTTTCATAACAGAAAGTAGAATCAAAAGAAGTTATAAGAAATGTGAAGTAAAAATAATAATGATGATGTGAATAAATCCTTTTCTTTAGATTCACATTTATAAAATTTTTATTTTTTACATCTTTAAGTTTGGGGATCAATACTAAGTAATATTGGTGGTTTAGGTGGTTTATTCTAAGAGGATTTTAGCAGATTTATTGATATGAAACGCACTGTACAATCATATATGCCCTTACCCATGCTCTTTGTGATTAATTGTCAACATTGGCCGTGTGGCGAGGAAAAATAATTTTACTTCGGCTCAGGCAACTATCCACAAAGGGCGTGACTTTCTGCATGGGGGAGTTGGAAATGGGCCGGGGAAAGGGAAAGGGAAAGTTCGGAACAAACCAGACTAAATGAAGATTTACGTTCCGCAGCCGCAGCGAGTTGGATATTTATGGAGCCAAAGCCAAGGAAGTGGAACACAGTCTGGAGACGGACTCTTTTGGCAAAAGTTTTTCTCATTCGCTGATCGTAATGAGCTTTAATTATCCCATTATAATTTTACTGAACTTCAGACAAGTCCTGAGTCACTGAAATTGAATATGGGCTGTAAAAAGTAATTAGGTCTTGAGATTTTACAGTGATTTATTTATGTAAAACTAAGGCAAGAAATATTTTTCATTTCATTTATTTTTCATTTACAAGCAAAAAACTAAATGCCTCAAAATACATATAGGTAAATCTCAAAAGTCATAATATGCACAAAATTATCTGGAATAATTATTTTAGAAACGTATTCATCACTGAATGACTAAACAAAACTGTTATTAAATTAAGATTGAAAATGATTTATTGCTAGACTCGAAACTCAAAGTTCAATTCTCCTCCTTTTTTAGACTGCAGCTCTGCAGTCCAATTATAATCATTTCTACCGATCGCTCCAATTAAGTAATAAGCAGCCCGTCTCCCATTAATTTCGTGAGAGTGGGAGGTATCCGTGGCTAAATCAACAAAAGTCAGAAGATCTTCTTTGCGTTTCCAGAAGCAGAAGCGATGAGACAATGGCAACTCATCATCGAGTGACCACAAGAAATATCATAATTTCTTTCCGAGAAATCAGCATAGGTCGCCAGACAAGACCGAAGGCCCAGCGCCAATGATTGTCCAGGGGTGTGGGTATCGCAGGGGGCTTCTGGAGGGAGTGCAAAGGGGGGTCGTTGTCTCGTCGTTCGTTCGATTGAATCAAGACCCGTAGACGACCCCAGACAGCCAGCTAAATATACTTGTAATCGAGGAAAAAACGAACTGGAGGCAGAAAGTTGCGTAGGATCTGCGAGTTCGGATGCAGACAATGCAGCTGCAAAGTCGCTATATATGTATATATACCCTGATCCGTAGCCCCCCTTATGTTTCATCACACCCATTGGGTTGCTTTGATTTCTTGATGTTTTTTTGATAAACGCTGCTCATCATGTAATTTTAAGCGCGCCGCGCATGTTAAGCAAACAATTTCCCGTGACAGTGTAAAATGTGCTTTGGGTGGTTCAGGATGGGGCGTAAAAAAAGCACTGAAAAAAAATTATCTTAAATTTATAAATACTAAAAAAAAATTAAAATTATAAATACTAGTTTTAATACAACTATTTTTAAGAAAATACAAATATTATATAAGTAAATGACATGTTAATTCGTTTTTATTGTATTTGTGAATAGTTTACTTATTGCTTTTCTTTTAAATTAATTAAGTTAAAAATCATATCCGTGTTTTATCTTGATTTTTTTAAGTGTAGGGCTTAACTAAAGCCAAAGGGTCGGCCAGTCGTCTGCTGGCCCTCCAGCGACCATTACAACATGACTCGCAAAGAAAGCGAGTGTTGAATGCAACTTTTATTTAATGTTTTTCTTCTCTCTCTCTCTCTCTCTCTCCATCTCGCTGTCTTTATCGGACTTTTTCTTGTGGAAAGTCTTTTGGCCCGAAGGCAGGCCTAGGCCAAAAGAATCGTGTTGATGGATTTCTTCCTGTCGTAAATGTTGTAAGCGAAAGATATGTCCAAAACGTTCAACATTGCTGCGGGGCCTCCAGTTGCCTGGGTCTCTCCCTAATGGAAATGGTTGCTTGTCTTTAAGTTTTTCTTACCCATTTTTCTGCTGTTTTGACTTATCATTCAAGATGCGTTTTTGGCCTGGGTGGATCTGTTGATGTGTTAAGATTCAAGTCCCTGACAGCCCCAACATGATGGTGTGTCTGCAATTATGAATTGTGGGAGAGTTCTGGACGGAATGCAATTCGAATGGGACTTTTAGCGGATTCAAATCGGGAGGTGCTAAAAAATTTGTGGGAAATGTGTCACTAGGAAATATTAAGGTTACATCGCTTTGTTGTTCTTAATCGTTTTTACTGAGTTTACAGAACAGATCAATTTATTCTTGAAACTTCAACAAAATTAGCTGCATTTTATCGATGCCGGAAATTTCTTCACCCGATTCTGGTGCACATTTGTTTTTCTTTACTTTCACGGACTTCGAGGCAGACCCCATTTCGATATGTAGGCGAGTCGATTCGTCATGTCGACAGCATTTTGAAGTCTGCTAAACCATATGTCTTCATCGTGTTTTATCATCGATTTTGAATGATAAATATTCCCGACTCAACCCCAATATTTTCCCTGCTGATCTTGCCTCTTGTGGAGTTGTGAGCTTGTTTTGGTTTCTTGTTTTCTTGGGATTGCTTTTTTATACTCTTACAAAGAGTCCTATAATTTTTATGATTTTGTTACATGTGATTTAAGTACATACATCGTGTATATATAAGATATAAAGATAGAAGATCCATATTCCTGAAATGTATCTTCTAATTATTAACTAAGATTTAATATTAATTCTTGAGGGTATTTACGAATTCCTTGTTGTCTTTTCAATATTTAGTCGTATTAGGCTTTGGTCCCAGCTGTTGGCATGTTGTAATTTGAATAAACAAATTGTTGTTGTTGTTGCGACCCCTCGTTGTTTTTTCTTGAGTTTTCTTCTCTTTTTTTTTTGATAAGAACTGAAATGTGCCGCAGAAGATTACGAGACCGCGAGTCTTTGTCTTGTTGACGCATTATCAGCGCCGATTGCTAAATGTCAAACCAAAGCAGTTCCGGCTTCATATATCAATTTCAAGTCATTAATTACGTTATTATTTAGGCGCGTTTAAAATAAAACTGTTGATAACAGTACCCCTGTTGAGCAACAGTGCGATTTTGTGGCAACCACCCGCAGCGCTGTTAACAGCAGGAGAGCGAGAGAGGGCCAGCGAGAGCGCCGTGGAGAACAAGTTTGATTGTTTGCTTTTGCTTTTACTTTCTGTGTTTGCCTGGAGAGAGGCTGCAAAAGCAGTTGTGTTAGCACTTTGGCTTTTTCTTTTGGAGTTGCCAGACTGTCGCTGTCTTCCGATTTTCCAAGATCAACTATGTATGTTTCCTTGAAAATAGCCAATTTGTCAACAGCCGTGGGGTGGTATTTAAATTCGATCGGTGGGTGTTTCTGGAGGGTAGGCCAATCAACCTCGTAATAATGCAATTTCAATGGCCATCGGTCGAATGCGGGTCTCTTGTCATGTTTTAAGTTTCATGTTTCGCATTCCCCTCTAAATAACTAAGTAATGAGCTGTCATTACGCACACCCATGAGGGTGGTTTCACTCGAGATTGTGGCATGCAACATGATCGATCTACTTAATGGTAATTCATATTTAATGTGGGCTTAGAAATGTTTGTTGTGGTTTGTTGGGGGATTGGGAAATTGACTGCAGGGGTGGAACTTCTAACGGGGGAGTTTGTGAGAACGGCCACAGATGAAGAACATGATGATGCACATATGGCAAAAAGGTTTTACCGAAAATGGTATAGTACATATATCTCCAATGAGTAGGGTTTATCATTTTATGTTGTGGAAATTGCAGACATAAAAACAAATAGTAATGACAACAAAGTGTTAAAATTATTGGTCTGCTTTATTTCTTATCAAAACAGAAAAATATTTAAATTTATTTCAACTAAATTATTTGTATTTTATTTTACACAAATTTTCATCTTTGAATGTTTCAGGAAATTAATAATAAACTCCCTACCAATTTTAAACATTTAACAAATATGTAGTTGTTGCGAGGCCCATTGTACTCTGTTCTCAATGCTGCGACGCTTGCAACAACAACTACAGTAAGTCCAAACAAAGGCAAAAACAATAAACAAAAACACACGCTCTCGGTTTTTTCTCTCTGACTCTCCGCTGTATTTACTTTGGTGCTCTCTCTCCCTCTCTCTTTGGTTTTGCCACGCAGTATTTTGTTGTTGTACGCCAGTGATGTATGTATTTTGGCGGTAAAAAGCTAGAAGGCCAATAAGAGAGCCAGCAAACGATATAATTGTAGATAGAGCCTTAAGATCAAACCAAAATTTTTGGGCTTAAGACTGTTTCTGGGAAGAATTTGACAGATAGTTTTTGCAAGTAATGATTCTGCTTTATTTTTACGTACTTTGCAAAGCTGAAAATAACACTTTCATTTCAATAGGAGAAAAACATGTTTCTTTTATTTATTTTTCCCCATCGCTAAAGCAGCAGCACTGATGGCTGGGGTGCGTTTGCTTTCTGGTTTTGCTTTCTGCAGCTGCTCCACTGAAATGTTCGGTTTCTGCCTTTCATTCGACTCAAATTTTCGCGCTTGTGCGGTTGTGCGGAGCGGACGAGTTGGAAAAACCAGCGAGGTTTATTATTTTCAAAACTCGGAGTCCAAATCGAATAGTAATATCCCCCCACATCGAAATATACGATTCATAACGCTCGCGAGTCGAAAGTGAAATTCGTCGGCGCAACGGTAAATCAAAGGCAGCGTGATTTTTGTTTAATGAATGGAATAGCAGCCAAAACACAATTCCCGCTAAATTAATCAAATTCAATTGCAAATAATTGTAACCGCTTAAAGTTTTCTGATCGTAATAATTAGCATTTGCAAGTCTATGCTAAAGTGTTTAACAGTTTAACAGCAAATAACAGGAAAATCGGTGATTTGGTGTGCAATAAGTTGAGAAAACCAGAAACCAAAACAGATTTGGAGATAACAGACGAAAGAAGGTACGAGTTATATGCGAATTTTGGTCTGTCATAAAGGTATACACATTCGGTGGAGTTTTTTGTTCCCCTTCCCCCACGAAAAGCAACAATAATGCGAGAGATGTGATGTATGTACGAAACTCCCAAAAGGAAGTTTTTTTTTTTTGTCGCAGGAGAGAAATAGAGACGGAGAGAGAGAGAGCGTGAGAGAGTTGTGCAGCATCCTACAAGGATGCGGATTTGAGTGTGTGTGTGTGCGTGAGAACTTTTGCAATAATGTCCTTGGCAATAAATAGAAGTTGAGAGCGGCGGACCATTGAAATCTGAGAACAGAAGTGAGGGAAATCAAAAAAGGATATTGGATAGTTAAGGAATAAAAGTACAATAAAAATTCAATTAACCACAAATTTGAGAGATGAAGGAGTTTGTTTTCAAACTATGGAGCGTACAACAAATAAAAGTTTTTAAAAGCTTTAAGTTTGAATAAAAAATAAATATTCTAAAAAAAAACTATTTGTTTGTTGGAGATTCCCACGAACGAATCAGACTAAATACTTTTTTTAATTGCATAAATTTTGTTACTATAGTAACTTAATAAATGACAGATGTTAAAAAACATGTATAGAAAACTTCTGATAAGTCAATTCACAATAGTTTTGAATTTCTAACTTTGTTACAGAGAAAGCACGCCTGACCCTGAATTAGCAAATGAATACTTTATTTTCACTTTGTTATTAAGTTGCTTATCTCTCGTAGCAATCTCAGCTGATTATTTTATTTAAAACAATATAAATTAATTCTGTCTTACATATACGTCGAGTACATTGACATCAAGTGTAAATCATCGCATGAATTAATGTATAATCGTGTATTATAATTAGTATTATATCACAGAATTGACAAATGTTTGCGTTCGCTCAAATTCCGCTAATCTCTCTTGAAACGCTCTCGAATGTTTATAAACAAAATCTTAATGCATCAGCCGGCAGATGAGATTAGTTTTTAGAATGAGGAAAGCAACACGCGTAATAATTTGAAATACTATGTACATAAGACACCTGTTATTATTTGTGAGGAAATATAAGAAATAGAACTGCTGCTATTTTGTTAGGATTATACGCCCATCAAATAAATATATGAACTTAAAATACTATTAAAATTGTATCTTCAAAAGCAAATATTGATTTTATGACCTTTTGCCCTGAGAATCTACTTAAAGATTCTGCTCGAGGATAGACATAAACGGATTTCGTATTCTAATTTTGTTTTTTGCCTCTGCCTTTCAAAGTCAAACATATTTCAAGAACAATCAATAAGAAGAGAACAAAACAGAGAAGAACACAAGCTACTTGGCGACTAAAACAAAACGAAGAACAAGAGTGGGCCAATTTATAATGCCAAACCATCGATAAAGATCTGCGCCACTAAATGAAGATTAAAATCGGCTAAAGCTGAACAAACTCTTGTCACTCACGAAATAAGATTGAGATACCAAGCGGAAAAAAAAAAACATGGCACAGTGAAATTTCTCGACACGCTCCCGTATCTTTCAGATACTTTCCTCAGTTTATGTTACCCTAGGGCCGGCTAATCAACGCGTGGTTGTTTCAGCTCCCCTAACCATTGTTATTAATCTTTTCGGTTTTTGTTAATCACTTCCAGAGTGCTTGTTTTACTTTTTTTTTGGTTTGGTGTCTTGGCCTGCATACAATTTGCAACACGTTTTGTGGGTTTTTGTTTTGCTTTTAGCTTTCCATTTCACTCAAGTGATGTTCTGTGTTTGCCCGCAGCCCCAAAAACCATCCATTTCGGGTTCCGAAACTCATCTTTCATTTCCATGAGAAGGTTATCGAATGATCTTTACATTTCAGCATTCGAAAGTTTACTTTGGTTGCTAATTGGATGCGAGAAACGCAATTAATTAAATTCAAATGTTGAAGGCTGTGTCAGTCTCTGGTGTAAAGAAAATGTTAATGCTTAAGTAGCAAGAAGCTCTAAAGGTTTTTTGGTATCCAAATTATTTAAGAAACCTTAGGTTATATATTTTTGACTGCTATAAAAGCCAAACTTCACAGGAGAATGCAGTTGGGTTGGGAATTTCAACTGCCTGAGTTTTTCAAACTCAAATTTCGTATTTATTAATATTTACTTGGCAAAGAAGCAGAACTCATCAGCTTATGCAAATTCAGGGTAGAAAATTAAGTGAATTTCTTTGTTCTGGCTCGTTCCGATGAAAGCCTGCTCAGAAATTCTAATGAAATTCACTCACAGTGACACAATTATGCGATGCCCTCAGGTGTGATTCGGTTGGTTCCTACGCCGAGTGGAAATTTGCATATGGATCTTCATATCTCTCACCCGGCCTGGGTGAAGTGTCATAAAAAAGTAACCCACATTTGGCCCCACAAGGGGTTTCCTAACGGACCCTAAAATGTTATTATTATAAGTATTTATTTTGTAGTTTTCTTCATTGTTTACCTTGTTTTGCGCAATTTTTTATGGAGTGCGCAAAAGTTGTTGCGGCCTCGTCTGAAGAGAAGTCGAGTAAGTTTTGGGTCTAGGCAAATAAACAGCGATGAAAGAGCCGTTAGGTGACCCCAACCAACCCTCGAGGGGCCAAACCAATTTGCATGAAATGTGGCAATAAAGAAGAAGAAAAACTATCAAACTGAAAATGCTGAGTGGCTGTTAGGAACTAAGAATAAGTGAAGTATGCCAGATGAGATGAAAAAGAAAAGTTTATAAAACCCAAAGAGCGATCTTTTATCATTAATACATCGTTCTATTCATTAATTTATAAGATCTCATTAAATATTTACAAAATTCCTTTAGATTGTGTTATGTACTTTTTACTATATTTTGTTGATGTTGAAATTTTACGGACCTACCCAAAGAATGTTTATTTTTTGGGTCATTGCCTCAATCTGATGTACCCGAACTAAGTCGGGTACTTGAAACAATTTTAGCCTCTTAAATAAACATGAAAAATTCCGAGTTTAGATACTCGACGTTCAAGTACAAACTGTTGAAATATTAACACTCAGATACACATGTCAATGCCTAAGCACACACCCTTGTTATTATCAGAATAAACTGAAAACCCACAACTTTAAACCGAACCCGGTGCCAAAGTTCTATCAACCATATAACATTATATTGACGCCAATCTGATAGACTACTGAAGCTAACAAAAGAAAAAAACGTTTTGGTAGTTAGAAAATGATTGAACTTGACTATAGAAGATAAACGCCATCTTATCAATTAACTTCGCACTCAATGAACGGCAAAATCCCGATTAGGAATTTGGTTTCTACGTCATTGATGAGAAATCAGGTTTGTTATCAAGTGAAATGAATTTAACCAACTGAAGAAAGCTGGGGACAAAGTTGTTATGAGTTTCTGCCTAAATACGGTGACAAATTTTATGATTCCAATGAATTTTAAGATGAATCCGACGAGAAACCCCGACAAAGTTTGAGAATTAGCCGGAAAGAGCAGGTGTCTGCGAGAGACTTTTCCATCAGCTGATTATTCAACCAAAACTTGTGCGGAGAGCCTCAAGCTAAAAAATGATTGGCGCTATTGTTAAATTTAGCATTGAGCATTGAGAGAGAAGTGCGTCACAGTTCTCTGAGATTTCATATAGAAACAATTCGCATATAGTAAACGCCAGGCGAGTCGTGTGTCTATATACTATATATACTTCTAAGGTTTCTTGATCTAGCCTAAGCTCAAACTACTGGGAAGAATCAGCTGATTGTTGCCATATGTCTGAAGCCTGCTATTTCCGGAACTTCATTGTACTCGTATTTTGCCTCTGCCTTCTTTTCTTATCAGGGTCAATAATTATCAGCTTATAGTTTTTCTTTATCTCCGAGCTTGATAGCGATAAAATAAACAGAAACACTTTGTTAATTGCTAGTAGCATGTTTCGTTTGAGAAGAAATTTGTTACCAAATATTTTATGCGCAGCCTGAAACTAGTTATGGTAATTTAATGCTTAATTTGCATAGAATATCTGTTTGTGATTAGATAGGTAAACGGGGCAGATAAACCATTCAGTTGGCAAACTGTCATTAATCAATATTGTTTCGGTACCAATTTATACACTAAACTAGTTTATTTTGTTAAGACTAACTAAACCCGAGACTCGTTTACAATTAGTCTCAAGTAAATACTGAAGTTGGCATTTCCCTTAGCACTTGTATACTTTTGTTGAAACAATTAATCACATCTTAATTTTCCTTTTTGCCTTTCTATTTGCAGTTTCGGTGAGTCAATCTGTCTATTCATCAGTGATTAAAATTCTAATGACGGAATAATAGGTGAATTCCTTTAAATTGGGTAAGCGTGTAAAAAGCTTAGTAATACCCTCTTCGATGTTAAACCAGAATGTTTAGCTTAATTGCCCTATTTTCTGTTAAATGAGCTCCCTTGATTTTCCACCTACTCGGTAAAATTCTACAGCACCGATAACCTTCCCTGGGCGAATTTCCAACTGGCAGAGAATTAAGCCTGCCTACGTCAGTTTCTATTTTAGTTGGGCCTAGCTTGACACCTTCAATTGAAATTGATTATGGAGACGACATCATCCACGCACTTATTTAATTAACAAAAGCCTCAGATAGCAAAAAAAAACATAAGATTTTGACTTGACAACCAATTATGTTTTAACACGGTTAAGTGTCTAAATCTCAATGTTAAAAGTATATTTTCATATGAGATTTCTAGGAATTTCCCCCAATGCTAAACCGCATTTATTCGCCAAGGGAAAGGAGACCTTCGATGGACTTTCCATGTTGTGGCAAATATTTTCGTGGGTGGCACACCGTGATGAACTACTTCAAGTGCACCACCGTCAGTGGGCAGAAACATAAGCAAGAGTCCAACAAGATTTGCGTGTTTGAGGCCAGTGCTTTTATAGAAACATACTTATGTACACATTATATGTAGTTATAATTGTCGCCAAGATCTTTGTTAGATTTTCTGGCTGCTTGTTAGCTTCTTCTGGCTTTGTAATCGAGACCACGCAGAGACATTCAATATGTTGGCTCAATGAGAATTCGTTTTCTTTTTGTCATCGGAAATTGGGTCTTGGTCGTGAGAGAAGCACGCACGAGGGCGTAACGCACTTGATGAGTAAACTCTGCGTCAAGTACTTTGGATATTTTGGTTTTTCAGCTTTATATAATATAATTCTCGATTCACTCACTACTCACTCACTCACTCACTGCCGATTGATAAGTGGGTCAAGTCTGAATCGTTTTGTTTTCTGCATTAGAAAAAGTGAAATCGCAAAATGTTTTTAACAGCTGTAATTAACTCTTAATCATCGACGCTTTGTTTGCTGCTCTTTGATTTATTTTTCCGTCTTTATCTTCCCTTGTGTTTTCTGCTTCTCCCCTCTCCCTCTTTCTAATTATCACTTACACTTTTGTCGTAAGATTCTTTGTAATTAGTCAACATTTTTTTCAAGTCGCAGTCTGTGATTTGCATTTTCTCCCTGTCGACCGATTAGATGTTGTAATTACTGTTTAATTATTTATTTATTTTTTATTTTTTCTAATGTTAACACCTTGGCGAGATTCAAATGCTGATTGACATTGGTTTTTGTCTAGACGGGGCGAGGAATATTTCATTAGTTGCGTGAAACTTTTCATAAAGTTGTTAAAAGTTCGATCCAACCTTAAGACAAGGTTAAACTAATTAAGAAACATGAGTGCATATTGTTCGAACAATTAGTATTTTTGCTTGAAAGCACAGTTTTTAAAGTAAAGAAAAGTGTTCCTATTTCTAAATGTTTTTCTCAAGATTTTCTAGGTTTTCCTTATATATTTTTGCAACTAAGCATTAGCCGCAAATTGCGGTGTCAGGCCCAAGTTAGCATTTTCAACTTGGCTCGATAGATTACACAACCTGCTCAAACTCAAATACCCAACGAGGCGTTATCGATGGAGGAAAATCAGGTGGGGAGGCAGGCGAGAAGTAGAGTGCCCACTTGCAAACAAGAGAGAAACGCCTAATTAAGTTTTTTCCCCCTGCCTGGCAACGAAATTTGTCAAAGAATATGGTAATCAAGTCAAATTGAAAAACTTGCATATTTTTAACCAAGTTTGTGGGCTTGCATCGATGTGATCGAGTGCTTGGTGCTGATTGGGTTTTCTCAACAAGATTCCAGAAAAAGTAATTGGTATTTCCAGACCACAAAGAAACTTTTTCAAAAACATGACTCAGCATTGAGATTTGGTTAGCTGATTGTATAATTAAACTTCATTCTACTTCGTTATCAGCTCTTTTCATAATTAATTAAATTTTTACTTCTCTTTTTGGGGTAGTAAATTAACTTTAATTATAGCTGACAGAAATGGAAATGATGCTAAAGAAAATAAGAGAAGTTTCTTGTCTGACCCAAAACTTCAATTTAAAAGAAACCCGAAAAATATACGTATGTATGTATGTACATATAATTTATCATTTGCGGACATTGCGTTTCATACTTATCTGGTCGTTATAAAGAAGTTCGGTTATAAGGTCAAGAATTAAAAGTAAAAATACGGATCTTTGTAAAATATTAAATTATTAAAACATATTTATATTTAAGTAATAAATTTAATTTTTTATTTTTCCACATCCTATTTATAATTGTTAGGAACTAGATCATTTCACAGTTAGCTGTTTACGTTTAATTTTTTTTATGATCCACACTGTATTTTTACCTTCCGCTTCGTGCATACTCATCCATAAATTTAATAAAACGAGTGTTCCGTTAGGTTCTTTTTTACTGCCCCACTCATTCCGGTGACCGCAAAAGCGATCATCACATTTCATCACCCACAAGAACCGCTTTCATCTCTCTGGAGATCTCTGACTAAGACTCCTGGACTTGTATTAATGCCTTTGCGATTATGCCATGACAACAACATCAGTATATATCGTTTACCGTTTAAAAAAGTCCAAGACGAAGATGTTTATGCACTTGAACGCCCCAACAAAAGTTGGTTCTTCAACCGCAAAATAATGAGTTGCAACAGCACCAAAAAAAAAAAAAAAAAACAAACAAAATAAATAAGGAAAAACAAAAAGAAACAGAACAAAGACAAGCGCTTGGAGAATTTCATCATTTTCTTAGCCGCAGACGACGGTGTCTTCGAGAAGCGTTTTGGGTCAAATCCAACCGCACCCGCTCGCAAATCGGCTCAGTGACTTGGCTCCTTGGCCAACAAGTCGACCAGCCAAGCCACTTGACGGCTGTCTGCATCCTGTGCTGGGCATATTGAGTTTCTGGACCCGGGCTAACAGCTGGGCCGAAAACCAGTTTAGATTTTTAACTTGTACTACGGCAGCTGTAAACAATCAGAGCTAACTGCCTGCCAGGCACTCAGCCATGAAAAATGAATGATGATAATGATGGTCAACTCAACTGTTTCCAGTGGGGAGCTCACTTAGTTCTCCAGTTCTCCAGTCATTGACCAAAAAGGCCCAAAGAGCCAAAGAGCTGCCTCGCAGCTCCTCGGCAGGCTCCTGAATTTTCTTCAAGAGCCGGAGAAACTCGATTTTGTATCTACCCCAAAAGTGCGAGTATCTCAAGTCTGGCTCAAGTCTCGGCCGCAGTTCTCAGTACTCGTACTGCCCTTTGCGACTCGCTCGCTTGCTTTATGGCCTCTCAGGTTGTGTGTGCTTTTTTTTCTACACTATTTTTTGTTTTTTGTCGATATGGAGGAGCCAAAACCGGTTGCCAGGTTCATAGGCGATGCTTTGTTGAAAGTAGCTATAGCTTTTGTATATATATCTCCCATTTATTGCTGCACTTCTAGTTTTGATTTGTCTCTGTGTTCTTTTCAAGCCAAGAGTTTTTACTTGCAGCTCGTATTGTGGGGGTTATCAGTTGAAGATCGTGGTGCTGAATCAGTTATAACTCGTTCTGAGCAATGTTTTGATTGTGGGATGGCTAACCTGATTCAAAGTTTATTGACTTTGGCTTTTGCTTATCGGTTTCCATTGGACAAGTTTTTATTTGGGCTTAGTGGCTTAATTAGGTGATTACTGAATTGTTTTATCCACCTACCGAACATCAGGTATTCATGGTCCATGATCGCAACCTTTGGTTGAGCTGCGGCCTACTCTTTCATTTGGCTGTCAGCCAGTTAACGTATTCCTCATTCTGCAAGTTGCCATAAAAAGACTTCAATTGCCAACTGTCAACTAGTGGGGAAACTGGTTAAACTTTTTTTTTTGCAAAATAAAAAAACTTTGAAACTAAAATCAAAATTGTTTGACTGTTGCATTTGGTGCACATTTCTGCCGGTTTCTCTTTATGGCCAAGACAAGTTCTTGACACTCATCGGCCGCACGAAATGGTAGAGACGCCCACAGATACTCAGATACACAAGTGTATCTGTAGGTAAAATATTGTAGCCATAAGTTGGCTACTTAAGCCGAAACATGGACTCAAAGAGAGATTTATTGAATCATACATTTGGTTTTGGTTGCAGCCGAGTGATTCGACAAACGCAGGAGCAATCAACAAAGCGTGCCACTGGAAAACATGCAATATTCCCATTCCCCCCCTCAAAAATCTAACCCCCTTCTCGACAAAACGCATTCGTTATTAGTTTGCCCACATAATAAATGATGTAAAAAGTAGGCGGACTCGCAATACACCTCGCCAAAAAGGCGTAAAAGTGGGTGGAAGTGGCGGTGGAGGGGCGGCAAAAGAAATTCAAACTATAAAATAATTACACAAAAATAGTTTTTGCTGCGCACCATAATTTTTAACATTTATTTCTTTTTCGTTTTTTGGGTAAAAATGTGTTTTGGAAATTGCTAAAGAGCAGGCAAAAAAAGTGTTTTATTTCTATAAATTTGTGTTGCCTCTTTGGCAATCTTTGTTCGATTTCGCTGGTTGCTGGTAATGAGGAATCAAATACAATACATATTTTTTATGTTCACTTGAAGCCATTTCTCAAGTTGGTTTGTAAAGAAAATCATTATGAAACTCGAAGAGTTGGGGATTTTAAAACACAATTATATTTAAAAATAATTTAGCTATTGAAAAATAAATATGTATATAAAAAAATGTAAATGAAAAATAGTCAATTTAAAGTTTCCCGAAGTTATCACTTACATTGAAAAAAAACTATTAAAAAATTATAAAAAAAAATAAAATACTTTTATGTGAAAACTTATGTGGGTATTTGTAATTATCAACATATTAAAATGTTATGTTATGCCATAAATTACCTCTATGTGCTACTACACTTTATATTATAACTGAAAGGTAAAAAAGTGTCTTATGCACATTGAATGCCTTCCCTTGTCTATCTTCATCAAAATAAACTCCGGCTTGCACGTGCTCTGAACACCTTAGGATGCCTTTTAGATGGTAGATACAGATACTCAGCGACAAATTTAACTACTGCCAGCCTCAGTTGTTGGCCACAACTGTTGCCAACCCATAATCGTTTAGATGCTGTTCATTCCTCATAATGATCGTGCTCGCCAGATTTGGGGGATCGGTAGCCGGAGATTGAGATGGAGGCAGAGACTACTGTGCGCAGGTAAATCAAGGTGTGCTCGGGAAACAGCAACCAAAAAAAGCTCAGGAAAATAAAGAGAAAAAAAAAGCTGATGGCTTTGCTAAACTCCAATCCGCACTTCACTCTCCATGGGGGCTGGTACGATGTGTCTGGTGTCTTGGCCTAACTGCTTTCGAGTATTTTACGTTAATTTACGCCAAAACTGTTGAGGAGATTTTCGCAGCAGTTGTTGTCTGCTTTCAGTTTCATTATGAGTGGAAAAATCATGCAATGGCCACGGCTTTTGGCTTGGCTTGGTTTGTCTCGGCTTGGCTTTTTGTATCTGACAGTTGCACACTTGGATTGCGAGTTGCAACACCCATTTTGTATCGTTACTCTGCGGTTAATCATATTTCTTTCGGTCTGTCTGTTGTTAAATTAGCAGCTGCGCTCAGCCAGCTTATATATTTTTTGTTTGCAGGATATTTCAATACGCAAAACAGCTGAAAGCGGTTTGCTTTTCGCTTGCATTTTATTTCGGGTTTTCCATTAGTCTCTGGTGCTCGTAGATAAGTGACGCTTCTTCTCGCAAATTTTTTTTTGCTGAGGTCTTTCTGGTTTTACGCGCTTTGCTGACTCTATGTGATTTTCCTAATTGGATTTTCCGTCTTGGCAAACACTCTCGCCATGTCTGCTTTGGTCTCGCTCTGTTTTTGGCATTGTCCAAAGTGTCAATTGGATTTGAGAACTGTTTCATAACAGATAACTTTCAGTGCAAGTGTGAAAGTGCCTGCGAGCCACATATTTAAGGCCAACAAAAATAATATTAATTTAATGATCTTCACATTGTTGATTACGTCTTCGATCGATGGCAATGATTTATTATTATTTTTTTTACGACCGGCAGTCGGAGTGGCTCTCAAATTGAATTTATTTGCGTGCCTTACTGTATGCGCACACTCCAACGGATAGAACTCCATTCGGCGTCCATAAAATAGATTCAAAATCAAAATAAACTTAAACAGCTGCCAAGATGGTTGACCATCTGAGCAATAATATCACTCGATTTGTATTTTGTTATTTTTGTTTGGCGCTTTCACTTGCCAGCTTTTTGTGATTTGTACGTCCCCAAATTCGCTGAATTGGAAAAACATATTTTTGATTTCCCGAGTTGGTTTTTATAATTATTTATTACAATTCCAACTAGTTTATTTCTAGTTAATCTGGCATTTTTTCAACCTTATTTAATGGCAGGATATCAAATATTTATTGCTCGTAATTCGAGTTACTGATTTGGGTTTGTTTTCTGGGGGCTTGGCTGGCCCTGCCAGCTGCAATCGAAACATAAACAATATGAGCAATCCAAGGAAGCTCAGTAAATATAATATGAAATGAAAAATGGCCCAAGCATGCAAATTATTAAAAGCAACGAAACAAAATATATTGAATCTCCGACTTGATTCACAGCCACGCAAACAATCGCCGGACCCAAAACGATCCCAAGATTTGTGAGCCTTGCAAAATGTTTCCCCGTCGACACTTTCGATTTTTGCCGCTTTTGAGGAGGGGCAATATCTGCAGTTAAGCTCTTAATTTATTGGTTGTCGTTGCTTTTTCTTTTGTTGCATTTATGTTTCTTAATCATTTTTTGATTAACGTATTCATTGTGGATTCTGTTAACTATAATTTATATGTTTCATTGATAATCGAAAATTTAACTTAATCGTCTTCATTTTTGTATCAATAAATTTGCTTAAGTTTGCAGCGTTTCAATTAATATATATTGAATACGCATTAACCAGTCATGTTTGATATAATGAATGCCAGATTGATAACAAATTGGAACCCCACATGCTATCAAGCACTGACTCACAAACGCCCCCAAATTACTGATTAGGTGAACTGGTATTCCGGAGATTTGATTTTCCCTCGCTTATCAGTTAAATATTTACGTTGCAGCCACGCACCTCGATAAGGTGGAGATGGAATTAGGTAAACATATATGGGGCATTTATACTGGTTTCATAATTTCCATGCGGGGCACTTTACAATTGTTTATTTTAGTATAAATTGGGGACAGTAAAATTTGTAAGGAGATAAGAGAAGGGATTGTATGGGAACAGGGTCAACTAGCAGTGACATAATTGGGTCGAGAATTCGTGTGACTAGAGATTATTAATAATTATTTTTTGATTGATTAATTCTCAGTTTCCTAATACCCAAATCACTTCTTATCTTTACAGAAATCTTTATGTTTGATAAGAACATATTGTGAGAAACTATTTGTCACGAGCTTAAGCAATTTTAGGTGAGATCTTTTTTACATTTCTTTCTGACACTTCGCTGACACCTGCATGTGATTAGAATAATATTACAAAATATTCTTGTACCATATTTTCCGCATCATAGCCTTAAGTTGCTATGCAAATAAACTGCTTTTCAGGCGTAAGCAACTGCGCTATAATCAAATTCAAACAGCTGTGCAGTGAATAATAAGTGAATTCCTTCCGACTAGACTCATTTTTCTCAATCTGTCTTTATCTTGGGCTTCAAAACGTTTGCATAAATAATTGCAATTTATTGCATTTTTAGATAAGTATCGAATTAAGAACGCATTTCTATGAGTTTGTTGGCGTCGCAATATGTTTCGCAGACGATAATATGGAATCAGAGCTTTGTTTATTGCTTTGTGACCATTTCTCGATATCAATTCGTGCATATTTCCATGTAAACTGCGGGACCAGCTGGAAACAAGCTGTTGCGATAAGGAAATAACGCCATTAAAGTTTCCTAAAAAACATTTCCTGACAATATACAAACAAACTGTTGTATTTTACAATTTTAAAGCATTTCAAGAACTTATTCTTTCCGATTAGTTCTTTGGGACAATGTTGTTATTGAAGTACTTGTACTTAAAATTACACTTTATTGTATGGTATCATTTGCGATAAGAAGTTTTGTAAACCGAAACCATGAGGCTCGATGAGTAGTCAAACAACCTTGCTGTTCAGACTTTTCCACACAAACTGTGAAGCGAAATCGATTTCGAATTACAAAATAATACAGAACTGTAAATGGAGGTAATGAAATGGAATTCAACACGAGACGGACGTTTTCATGATGCGTGAAAGTCAACCTCAGCCTTGTGCGGCTAGGAAGCGATATAAATCGCAACAAACAAACAAAGTGAAATGTAAACATCGTAAAAAAAAGCGAATGTGTATGCGAGTACAATAAAATCGAGCTAAACAAGAGCAATTCAATGAGCCACTTTTCATGCTTGCCGCGCCAAACAAGATCGGTTTAAAATGCGAAAAAACGAAAAACATCAAAATAACGCCAATTCGAACTTATCTTAGATGGCGCGCTTTGCTCTTTTATTCCTTTTTTGTTGAGACTTGTATGTGTTTATGTAAAATGCTTCCATGTCAAGTTTGTTGAGCTTTTGTTGGCAAGGTTATTGCACACGAGAAGCGCTCGTAAAAGCAAAAAATAAACATATATAAACCATATATAAACAAACCGCAAAAGAATAAATTTTAAGGTAAAACATGCGATAATTAAATATTTGATATGTCAGCTGGTCGGCAAACTACAAAAGTCGGGGGTTTCGAGAAAAGAGGGTAGGATAGATACATAGATACCCGACAAAGTTCTCAGACCGCACCCTCGAATTATGTGTTAAGTAAAGTGAAACTTCCGCAAATTCCCGGATCAAGAATTATCACAAGTGCCCCCTTCCACAGATCGTGGTTGCAGTGGCACTTATGGCCATCGAAATGCAGTCGCTGCATTTTAATCAAGTGCCAAGACAACACCTCCAATCCCAAGGCGACTCTTTGGCATTCGCCTGGCATTTGCATTTATACGCGATGCATTTTCTTTTGGCCCCTCTCGGAAAAATTCCATGCCGTAAATGGGGAAAACGACGGGAAAGAAAAGAAAAGATAAAGCAAAACTAGACAAGTGTAAACTATTCCATTCACCAGCATTATAGCTAATGGCCATAATGAATATGAATAATTATTCACGCTAATGCCGTGGCTCGAAGGCTCTTCAATATGCAAAACTTATTGTCCGGAAATGGGTAAGGTCTAATCATCTTTGGTGAGGTTTATTCACTCGATTTTCTAGTATATAACTTTGCATTTATTAGATATATTTATGGAACAATCTTCACTTTTCAAATTTATTTGGTTCAACAAAATGCATTCGCTATCAATTCCTCTATAATCCAATTTATATCCATTAGCATTCTGTGCGCTTTTGTCGTTTGACAAGCCGACACCCTGCAAAATGCGTAGTCTAAATTTATTGTAAGCCAAGCTACCAAACAATGGCCTCAGATCCCCTCTGGAACGAGAGAAAGAGAAGGCGCATAGCCCGTATTTCTATCTCGCCCTCGCATACTTAAGTTTATTATCATGTAAAACTTTTGTGCAACAATATGAACAACAAAAGCCTGAAAATCGCTTCTACTGTGCAGCTGTTCAGCCTCCCCCTTTAATCTCCAACCCGGCAATTGTTCTAGTTGATAATTTATTTGAATATTCGGCATAATTATTCCGAAGCGAGCAACAAGAAACAAAAGAGAGAAACCCGTTATATAACGACGATTATTTCACAAGACTCGCAGAGCCCAACTATTATTATGTGTATCTGCAAGATACAAAATTGCACTGAGAATTGGGCAACCAGAACTGCGCGACTTCGGTCCGGCTTGACTTGACATTGAGACTGAGACTGAGATAATGACCAGTTAACCAATAATTTTGTTGTATGACTATGCTATCTGATTGCTGACAAATGAAAAATGATTGTCGCTAATTGAGGTTTGGGTTTAGACGAAAGGAAAGGAACCAGCTTGGTTCTAACTTTAGCCATCGAGGGGAAGATAAATGATTTTGTTCAGCATTCAAGATTGGCCGTTTAAGGCACACACACACACTGGCCAATCGGTTAAAGTCGATTAACTCCATAGCCAAATGAAAGCCCACACCGAACGAGAATGAGGTCGAAATCGAGAACTCGATCTTCTCAACTTCTATAATTTTGTAGTTTGCGCCTCTGGCTCTTCTCTTTGTTTTGAGATCTGATCCCCTGCGATCGTCGTGCGTCTCGAATCAAAAGGCGCATAAATTTCTATGCCTTTGTAAGTCTTAACCGCTCTCCCCGTTTCGAAACAGTAGCGGCATCCATTAATCAAAAGGCACTCCGGTCTAGCCATCGCGAAGATCGCATATTAGTTACACTTTAGCGGGGCGCCCAGAAATCTGATGGCGGGTTATTAGTTCGCCTGAGTTATGATGCAAAGCAGTTGGAGATTGATCGCTTACATGAGGAGTAGCTGGCTGCCAAGTAACTCGAGCTGACATAAGACTCTGGGCTTGGCTGGGTTCAAGGCAATCCAAGACACGGCTTAAGAATAGATTTCCGATGAGGCAAACGGATTGCGAAAAGTGCTTTACTAAGCCGAGATCCATTAACTTCATTCGTACCCATGTGCAAAAGCTTTTTAAAGAGAGATTGGGTCAAATCGATTGGAAGAAAGAGGATTATGAATCATCCAGTTAAATGAATCAGCACACTAATTTAATGATAATAAAATATACGTTCTAATTACCTTTTATGTTTAGTGTGTATCCAAGCAATTAAATTTATCTAAATAGTACTATTAAATAGATATATTATGCTTAAGCGTATGTAAAATGCCAGAACACCATCCAAATAAATAGCTTGTCTTTTGATATAAATCTTTAGCTAAGCTTAAAGCAATTTAAGGAACCCATAAATATAACCACTTTGCATTTATGACTTATTGTAAGTCTGTATTCTTTTGTATGTTGATTTTTTTGCACGATGAATCCTTTTTTTTTTTGCAAGGCCATGAAGAATGGCGGAAAAAATTTGTTTGCATTTCTATTCGACTTTGCGTCAACGCTTCAGAAACGGGGGAGAAATGTCAACAACGCTTCTGCAATTCGTTCGCTCACATTGGCAAATTTATGCAAATTTTTATTTATTAAATAAACACGCAAAGTGCGTGTCATCAGCTGTTACAATAGAGAGGATTGGTTCTGTGTGTTGTGGGTGGCGTGGGATCCATCATGGTTAGTCCGCCTTTTTGGGGCCAACGAACGACAACGACAACGACGAGGACAACGACAACGTCAACGTCAACGTCAACGACAACTACAACGACAATCGCTGGATGTTGATTGGCAATTTGTTGTAGTAACTACACAAGTTTAGCTTAATAGGAGGGGTTCTGTGGGTGCTAATGAACTTGAGGTTACGACTGGAGAAAGGGAGAAAGATGTAGTGTGGGTGCGTCAGAGGAGCGATAATGCGTAAGAAATGGTTATGAAGTCCATAAAATAGATATCTTGATGGTGGTTTTTGTGTGGGGAAATTGGTTTGGGTGTCTGTCAACTAAAACCGACAAGATACTAAACTTAAGGTAGAGTCACCGAACTTTAAAGGTTCTGATAAAATTCAATGGCAACTCAATGTTAAAATAATAAATATGTCTTTAAAGCAATTAATGTTGCTTAAGTACTGGTGTATTGTTATTTTAAGCCTTTTCCTTCAAGTTGCTACCATTATTTTCCAAGGATATTTTCGTATTATATGACATTTCCTCTCCTCTCCACCAAAGTCAACGTTGAAGTTCGCCAACTTCGTCATTAGTCTGTGAAATGCTGTCTGGCCCTCGACAAGTTGTGATTGTTGTGATATCATATAACCACTTTGGGACAAAGTTGCTTTTACTGCCTTCGCCCCAACCTCTATCAATTATAAAAGATACTGCGCCACTGAGCATGAAATTAGCTGCGTGCACCAGACCGCCTATAGTACAAACTCCCCCTCTTCCCTCTTTTCTCTACGCACATGAGACTAGTCGTAAATAACCCTGACTTTCATGACAATTTGCAGTGGTTACACGGCCCGTCATCGCACTCGATATCATTCGAAGGCATTATAGACTCCATTCCATTCCATTCCCTTGTTCTCTCCATATTAATTTATGCATTTTTTTTGTTGATTGTCTTGCGTTACAGTTGACAAGTTTCGCTTGGTCGGTGGTGCTGGTGGTGGAAGTGGTGGGTGTTCCCGGTGGTTGTTGCTGGCACTTTGTTTATGTGGTTCAAGTAGAATAAGTACCACAATTTATTATCTCCTACACGGCAATGCGTTGTAACGCAACGACTTTGATTAATTTTAATAGCCGTGCTAGAACAAGTTGTCTCGATGGCAGTAATTAATAATAATTATTATTTGATTGGTAATTCTGTCTGGCATTTATCTAACCATTGTCTGTGTGTCTTTTTTCCATGTCTTTTTTTGCAGACGTCTTAAGAAATTGCGCAAGAGCAACCTTTTTTGTTTTGGACAAGGTGAGTTGAACTTTGGCAGTCAGACTGTAGTGTCATGTTGCCCGCGAAAGGGAACCTAAAAATAATTAATTGAGTTTTGTCGCGGGGCGGATCGAATGGCCAAAGAAGTTCTTTCGCAAGCACGTGTTTTGAAATCGCAGCATGGGTCAATAATCTCCCATTAGCCTCGAAAAAAGTCTGATTTATCTAGTGCCCCTGCTTCATTTGCTCTAGTAACCTAGTGCTGCGAAGCCGATTGATTGATATGGAATCAGCTCGCAAACAAATTATCGTAAATTCCACCATAAAGCCCACGACGACAAAGAGACGCCAAATGCATAATGCAACCTAAAGTGCAGCTGCCGACGAGAGTTATCAATATGTGCCGCGAAGTAATACTTTTTATAGTGCCGCCACTTGGAGTCAACAAATCGGTGACCCACTTCTGAGTGGGAACGACAACGCGACGCGACTCTCTAATCAGCCAGTAACTTTGCGGCTTGATAAATACATGAAGCGGAGATAGAAAGCAAATAAAACAAAGTATATAAAATAAAGTACAATTACAAATCAGTGCAGTGGCTGACAGAACCTTTCTGCTGGGGAGTGTAATAACCCCGAGTCGAGTTTTCCCAGCTTCCTGTATGCGATAAAAACAATGAATGCACTCCAATATGTGTCAACTTTATTGTCTGCCAACTGAAAGATACTTGTCTCTGTGGCTGCTGTCATTGAGTCCTGGCTTTTGTTCCAGGTCCTTTGCCTTTAACCCACACTCCCTTTAAAGTCTCTGCAAAAAAGTTCTTTCTCCACTATGCCAAGGTATTTTTCTCATTAAAACTTTTCTACTTTATGGGCTCAATACTTTGGCAATATTTTGCTTTTATTAGTGGCCCACTGTCAAGCCGAGTGGAAATTAACTTTTCTATGGACTTAGTGGGTTTAGTGGCGGTTCCTTAAACGGAAATGGGGGAAAGCGTCAACTGGCGGGAAAAATGGAAGGTGTAGGAGCTCTCAACATGAGGTCTTCCCCCCTTCAAAAAAACATATGATAGCTCTTGGTAGCTGACGTCTTTCTATATCTTTCTCTATCCATTATGTTCTATCCAGAGTTGGGTTTGATGTGTTTCTTTTGTTATTCCACACTATTCGCGCGCCTAACCTGTCAAGAATTTCAATGAGTTCGTTTCCCTTTCGGTGGTCAGTCGGTGGTCGGTCTCTCGGCTTAGAACCAAAAACAGACTTGTATAGACGCACAAAAAAAGGAACAAGGTAAAACATCTTGCAAAAACCCAAAACAGAACCTGTTGGCTTAGTCATGTTGTAGCAATCTCAAAGAAAGAAATTGTGTTCCTGAAGTTACCTAACTCGTGTTTATTTATCTTATCTGATAATTTTTGTGTTATGACTTTGCTGAACAATACTTTTGTTTTACCAAATTTTAGGTTTTTTATTATTATATGAATTTATGATAATGACTTCTGACTCGAAGTCAAGTTTTTATGATTTATAATAAACTCATATTGATAAAAAATTGATTAAAAATTGCTCAATAAATATTTTGCATTTATATTTTTATATCAACTTTTGCAACATGTTTAATCAAACGGGACTTAATTTTCCACTTGATTAGTGGCTTAAAGACTTTGATTAATCTGCAGACTTTGATCTGCCCACTTTTTAGCTTCAGCAACTCAAAGTGAAATTTTTGGCGCCCCCTCTTCACAAACTTGTTATCCAAATGGGTGACTTAGCTAAGCTAAGCTAAAAATAAAAAAACGATTTTACCTTATAAAGCTAATTGTTATTTAGTGCGACTGGCAGAGCCACCAACACCTGAAGTTTTGGACTCGCCTCATGAATAATCAAATGATGAGGCACCGGTGCATATTCATGATCAGATTTAGTTCAGGTTCATCTGACTTTATTACGTCACACACGCTCTTCGACACTTTGCTGATGAGAAAAGTTGTTGACATCAGAGTAAGTGAGCTTGGCCACCTAATCGATTTGCCCTTTTGTAAGGAGTTGCGGTTCCCTGCGTCCATCAAAGGAGATTTTTTTGTTTTTTTTTTCACTTTTTTTGTTGGGCAAAGTTTTATGAGCCAATTACATGCAACACTGGGCACAAGAACACAACATTCGAGCGCTGAAATATCACATCCATCACATGCTAAGCTCGCATCATGTAGCAACTATTATGTGAATGCGATTCGGCTCTGCCCCTCGTCCTTCCTTCTCCTTCAACCTCCTTCTGGCCCTCAACGCATACACGCCACATAAGAGCCGAGGAGCGAGGCAACCTATGAGTATCGTCGTCTATCATTAAACTGTCGTAAATCACAAGTAATTGACATTATACAACAGCCAAGCGCGACGGATCGGTCAAACGATCAGCAGACTGGCAGGCAAGCATGCAGGCAAATAAGCAGCAATTACCCCAAGACAACAAACATTTTACTCGAAATACACGTAGCAACAATTAAGCGAAAGATATCACATGGAAGTGGTCATTGAGACAAGTTCTGAGATAACGAAGCCGAGATGCTCTACAAGTTATCACCTCGTTAGATAAAAAAGTAAACCAAGGAAAACGGTTGGAATGTAATGCAAACCATAGTCTTACCCAAATAAAAACTTTAGTTATACACAAACTTAAATACAGAACAAAAATGGTTTTGAATTTTGAAATAAAACCAGTTCATGAGTGTTCGTTAACCCCCGAAAAACCTCAAGCTCACCCATTTTGTTCCCACAAATTAATGCGAATCCACATGAGACGATCTAAGGCGATAAGAACCCATTTGAAAAACAGTTCGACGTTTGCCTCCCACCTGCCCGTCAGTCTCTCGATCAATTGGCATAGATCTCTTGAGATTGTAATGCTCGAATAAAATGCACAATTGAAATGCAGCGAAACAATGAAGGAATATATATTTAGACTGACACACTAAGCGAAAGGCAGACAGCCAGAATCGTAACAAACCCAAAAGCCTCCCTTTTGCCCACCAACCACCCAACACAACCCACTTTTCTCAGAAGATTACGAAATCCGTTGGCGAATGCTGTGAATGCGCCACGCGTAATTCTATATAGAACAGATGATGCCGTCTTCGCGTCACTCGAGGAGATTAGATAAGGCGGAGGCAGCGAGTATAAATAAATCAAGATATATACCTTTTGCATGCAATGAATTGTTAGCTAATAGCTGCAAAAATGACGTTGCAGTTGCATTTGAAGGTCTTGAGTGGCAAGTGGTCAAGGCTTTCGGTTCTCGAGTCATGACTGGTTAAAAACTACATAAAAACCCACAAATATATGCGTCGTTTACTTTTTCAATAAAGTTATGTTTTGTTTATTATTATTGCTTGGTTAACAAACAGGAAATTGCAAATCAAGGCTTGGAAAGTAACGCTACATGCTATCAAGTGTTTGCAAACAAAACGCGCAAAACATACTGAATTACTAATAAGCTATAACGTTTACTTTATATATAAAGAGCTTATCGGGTATTGTATTTAACCAATTGGACATTCTCTTTCCGCTTAATCACTAACTTCTGTATAAAATAATTTTTTATATTTAAAGTTTCATTGGTTACCACAAACGAATCTTAATGAATCTTTATTCCATTCCTTCTCAATTACAATCTATGCTAATTTTAAAATTTTATACGCTTCAGCAAGTTCTAATGACTCCCAACTCAAACTCGAAATTATTCCTCATTTTATGGATTTTAGCAAGAAAGTCGTCGGAGCATTTGTCGAGTAGCCTAGAGGAGCTATAAAAAATTACTGGAGTTTTACATAGACGTCTTCTTTTTTATTGCTGCGAAGGAGTTTTGTGGTACAGCTGTTCGAGGTTCGACGCTGGTCAGGAATGTAATTACATTGCGCATTAAAATTAAGCAACATAAACTACACACAGCAGCATAAACAAGCTAAAGCAGAACTAATTAACATTCCCCTTGCTTTCATTGGGATCTAATGGAGTTGTGCAGCATGTGACGGCCAGAGTGCAGATCTTCAGAGGGGGCTACAAAAATATAAAATCATGTTTTAAAATTCCATGAGCGAAGGCCTACAAAACTGGGTATCCATATAAAAGAAGGGTTTCGTCCGTAATTAAATCAAACATACAGAGCTAAACAGTAATCGTAAAAAATATTAATATGTACATTTTAATGGAAACATGAAACAAAAAAAGTGTTTTACATACCATTTCCTGGCGCAATTTAATGATAATAGTAATTGCTGCCATTACGAAACTTTGGGGGAAACCGAACCCCCTTTTATTTTCACCCATGTACGCCACTGTACTGGTGGTCATTTCATTTACGGTCTAAAATGATGGGGGCAGAACTGCAGTCAAAACTCCGTTCGTCACGCTTTAACGGCTTTCAGTACTAGAGTTTACGAACTCCCCTCGAGTTGACTGGAATTTGTTCCAAATAGAACTCCCTGGTTCCACTTTGGGATGGATGGAATCCGAATTGTTCTCCCCTATTTTATTGTTATTTCTCTTCTGCTTCATTTGTTCTATTTTATTCCATGTTATTTTGTTCTATTGTCTATCGGAAGTTGTGCTTGTTGTTAATTTATGCGTTTTTTGTGGAAGTCTCCCACCTCCGCTGAACTGACAGGAAATGCAATTAGTTTGAGGGGGTTCTCTGCATTTGGAAATCTTTTTTGTCAGTGTTTTGTGGAGTGTCATAAATTGGCGGCGGTTTTGTTTATGTTTCTGCTTCGGCTGTTGATGGTACTGCTGTGTGTGGCCCCTCTGAGTTTCTTTTTGACCCACATGCTGTTTAAGTTCTTTTTGAATGCAAATGTGTTTCCAGCCCCTCAAGCCACTTTATGGCATTTTTGACAAATTTGTTGAAAATTTACAACTTGACTACTGCCGATAGATGGAAGTGTTGTCTACATTTTCGAAGAAATTTAAGAACCAGATGGTGTTTCACCAAAAGGAAGTTATTAATATAGTGAATCAATTTGAAGAAGCTGAGGAGTTTTCTGCAG